CTCCTTCCCATCTCCCTCCCTCCCTCCCTCCCTACCGGGGATCACCCTCTCCTCAGGCCCGTCCATGACCGCCACGAACCGGTCGGTCGTGGGCTCGGGACCAATGCGTTGCCCGGGAAAGTCGCGACCGATCAGGTACCGAATGAACTGGGGAGGGAGGGAGGGATGGAAGTTGGACGCTGCGAATGGTCCTCCGTCATACAAGCAATGTGCTGAGTACAGAGCACGAGGGCGGGGTGGAAAGGGAAGGGAGGGGAAAAGGGTGAGAGCGAGGAAGGGAAGGGGAAAGAGGGAGGCTTACCGAGGTCTTCCCGGTACTGTACTGGCCCACAAGCATGACCATGGGTTTCGAGTCAAACTCGGAGTCCGAAAGCGCAGGAGAATAGAAGGCGTCATACATGTACATCTAGGATGAAACGCAAGGAAGCGGACTCGATAAGCTGCGATTTCATGATCTAACCCAAAGTCTTCAGGGCAACAGTGCACCGAAATGCCACCAACTGATGCAAATGATTATCCCTGCCATTGGTAATTAACTGCTTTGGTGCTCATGGTCCCCTTGTATCTCTAACTCTCCAGCCCCTCTCCTCACCTGCTCGAGCGGCAAAATCGTGCTTTTGTAAATATTTTTAAGCCCCTGAATGACGCGCCGGGTGGCCTGATCCCGGCCTTGGTCGGACTGAGTACTCATGGATCCGGTGACGATCGTGGCCAGGAACTAAGCGGAGAAAGAGCAGGATAAGGAAGAGAGGAAGGGGGGGGGGAGTGAACGAGGGAGGGATGTGTAGTCTACACGGCGGCTAGCGATAAGCCTGCACTCGGAAAAAGCAAGATCCAGCAACGGAGGCCACAACAATGACAAGTCGATGCAGTAGAGCACGTCTTCACGACATGTGCCCGTGTCTTCCATGGTGCCGCGGTGGTATAATGGGAGATTCCGATAGGGGAGGATGGAAGAAACATCCAAGTTGAGCCGACGCGTTAAAACCGGCAGTCGCTGACCTTGACGAGCGAGGGCATAAAATAAAATGCCACCAAAGCACAGGATGCCCACGTCAAGGCAGCTTCATGAAAAGCATGCACGCCACATGTAGTAGGGGCAGCTGGACTACTGACTACTGGTGCACAGGGAAGTTTGCGTGCTCCCTTTGGTGGGATGTGGCCCTCCCTGCTTCAATTGGCCAACTCTCGGTCTGCACGGGCTCCCCGCTTTTGGAGAATAAAAGTCCAGCACTATACCTTTTCAATGATGAAAGGGTATTCTCACACTGTTTGGTGCGGTTCGCATGCGGAGCGCATCTTTTTTTCTAACAAATTTTATCGTTGTTCTCCGGCGTTATTGATGTCACACACACAGCCTTTAGTGAAGATACCAACCTGTCTCATTGAGCACGCATGGACGGAACTCGTCCACACAGAACGAATCCTCTCCTCCGCGCTAGCTTGAAAAGGCCCAACATTCTTATCACTGGCACGCCAGGTACGGGAAAGACGACCACTGCCCGCTATATTGCGGTACGTAAAGGAGCTCGGAAAACAATGGGCGAGAGAATGCCTAGGGAGGCGACGACAGGAGTTGAGACGGCTGCGCACCTAACAGGAAGGAGATTGAGAATGAAAGGATGGAATAAATTGGGAGATATGCAGGGTAGCTAATCAGCAGTGGGGTCGAATCTCTGAGAGCGCGCTGTGGAGGCGACCCCCTGGAAGTCAGGGGCCTCCACCCGTGGCAGTGAACAAATTTATCGTGGAAGAAACCTCCGCGCTCCGCTCCTTTTGCACAAGACCAGCTTTCTCCATGCTCGATGGCTCACGCCTGCCTTGCAATATACACAGGGGGCGACCGGCTTAGAGCACGTCAGTGTGGGTGACGTTGCCAAGGAGAAGGAGTGCTTTGAGGGGCGGGACGTGGAGCTCGACACCAACATTTTGGATGAAGAAAAGGTACTTCAAATCTGCAATCTTTTATATATCTCCTCCTATATCCTTTCCTGCGCGTGTGGGAAGGCGAGGCATGGGGTCATTTCTTGCCCCCGGCAGTCCTTGTAGTCTCCGGCGATTTGACACTTATGACTAAGACCCGGGCGTGTCCTCGTCTTACTTGTTCTTTCCAGTTACTTGACCATCTGGAAATTATTCTGGCAGACGGAGGGAAGGTGGTAGACTATCACTCCTGCGAGCTTTTCCCGGAACGGTGCGTTTTGCCTTTGCTCGTTCTTTTCTTCCTCTCCCCTGGCTGTTTTCAAGTAATGTCGTGTCGTTGTCGAGTAAAATAGCTGCGTGATGATATTACTGCTTTAGAGTTATCATCTTCACTGCCTTCGTACTTCTAGATGGTTTGATCTGATCCTCGTGGTGCGGGCGACCAACGCAGTCCTTTTTGACCGGCTCTCTGCTCGAGGGTATAGCACCCGGAAACGGGAGGAGAATTTGGAGTGTGAAATAATGCAGGTTAGTTTGTTGCATATCGGGAGGCTTTCACGTTCACAATGGATCAGAAAAGAGGGGCTGAGCGTTGAGGAATTGGTTCTTAGATGCTCCAGAGCATTTCGGTAGCTTTTCCGTCTTCTTCTCATGACCACCATCCCATCTAATCCTCTCTTTTGTTTATTTTTAATTTTTTTGTCCCCCTCTAGGTAGTATTGGACGAAGCCCTTGAGAGCTACGAGAAAGAAATCGTGCACGAAATTACAAGCGAGACAGAAGATGACTTGCAAGAAAATGCTCAACGTGTCAAGGATTGGTTGACGCAATGGAAGGTAGAGTATTTGCTCAATTATGGGTCTGAGGGCCACAATATATTTATCTAATAAAATTTTCGTGTCCATTGCAGGTTGATTGCCGGGATCGAGTCCAAGAGGCGGAGGGCATGGAAGAATGATCGGTATTTTAAATTGCGATGCTAGACTCCAAAGACAAGCACATGATTATACCTTGGCTGAACTGCTGGAGATTCGCGATGAGGATACATTTATCATGGCAAAAAAATATAATAAAAAAAGAATCAACATGGAAACTCTTTGTCTGTTAGGGTCTGTGCGAGTTAGTTTCATTAATTGTGAGAAAATACGGATTCTCACTGTAGCCCCACAGTCAACAAGGACATACTGGGCATGATATCTGATCAAAAAGTGGAGTACTGGGTAAATTCGTGTCTTCACCTTGCGAGCCTGCCTGCTCATATCGGTTCGCAGTTCAAAAAGTAACGGCCGTTAACGGCCCGACTCCGCCCCGATCCTTCTTTGAATCGCTGCATCTCTTGACTTCTCTAGTAACTTTGCCTTGGCCTCATTCTTTCCCCTCATAAATTGTTTTACGATTCATCATGTGTGATAGGAAGAATGCGTAAGAAATATTAAAAATATGGAGTGTGCCATGTTGTTAGCCTTCTTGTTGCATCTTTATTCCTTGTCCGTTGCCCTGTGCTCTCGCCCCTCAACGTACTCCTTACTCGATATCCTTGGAAGGATCGACTTAGACGCCGACTCCGATTTTCACTCGTCTTATACACCTGGCTCCTCCTCTTTTGTAAAAATAATGGACAGAGTACTTCAGTGCACTTTGTTCTTTCTTGATGAGGTCTTAAAAATAACATGCAGCGCACTTTGTACGCTTGATCTTTTCCTTATTGCATTTCCTTGTTCGACGTACAATCTTACATGTAGGGATTGTGCGCTGCATGCTGATTCAGTATCTCTCATAATGGAGCCACAAGGACAGCATCCACAGCACGAGGGACCTCATCAGATTCCGTCCCCACTGGACGGCCTCCGTCGTAGATGGCAAAAGGCACGTCGAGGCCTACGCGAGGCCCCGGCTCCAGAGGGGGATACAGGAACAAGACGACAACGCCAAGAAGGTCAGCTTGCTGCCGATGCACAGGCCCAACATCACGTTCATGGCATTTGCTCCCAGCAAGTGTTGCATCAGAAGGCCAATTCAATCGGAAAAACAGCAGAGGGTGCAGGCGCGTTGCTACTTCAAGACAGCAGCCGTAAAGAATCTGTCGGTTCAGACACAGCAGGCATTACTCAGTACGGAGGGCGGGGGCGGGAAATAAGAACGCATCGACGGCTTAGCACGGAAGGGGAGGTAGACGTGGCGGAAGACGACTTATGCTGCTTTGATTGGGGCCTGCTGATCGAGCCGGTGACCATGCTGTGCGGCCATACTTTTTGCCGGCATTGCGTGGGGATTATACTCGAGGACTCACAGATCAAGACGCAGGGAGGGACCCCTCATACACCTGGGGCGATGAAATGTCCCTTGTGCTGCCGTTCCCTCCCTGCTGTCTTGCCCCAGCCAAACGTCCGGCTACGCAACGAACTACGTGCAAAGTACCCGGATCTATACGCATACAGGTGCGTGGAGTAAGGGAGAGAAGGGAAAGGCTCTTGCGAGTGTTATTTTAGAAATCAATAAGCTTCCGGTACGAGATTGAAGGGAAAGGTTGGAGGACCAGCGACACATGTACAAAGCCTCGCCGACTCTGAAAATGCTGTCATTTAAAACCCTTGCAACTGTCCTCCTCTTTTTACCCCGTTCTTACCTTTTCATCTTATCTCTTTCGTGCGTTAGAATGGAGACAGTAGGCGCTGCTTTCGTGGAGAAGGAGAGCAAGATGCGGAGACAGGGACAGAAGAGAGGTAGGTAGAGGAGGGAGGTCCGGGGCTACGACTCTGAACGTCTGTGAGACAAGGGAGTGAGGAATGGGGGGTTTCCCGGGAACAGAGACTTTTGAGGCAGGAAATGTCTCGTATTGCATACTTGCAAGGGCTCAGCAATGTGTCTTTTCTTGCTCTGTCCCAGCCTAGCGTAGCGCTGAGATCCAGATCCAGACATTCTGTATGCAGCACTCCCTGTCCCGTTGCCCCGATGTTCACCAAGGAATCTATGCCCACTGCGAGCATTGACGTGTCACATCGTCTCACCCCTGGCTCCCCGTCCCTTTTCCCCTCGCTTCCAGGCACCATAATGACGCCAGAGGACCTGGAAGGCTTGCTAGCGGCGCATCAGCGTCGCGTCACGGCGGCAAGGCGGGAAGGTCTCGCGGGGGGGCAGCGCGCAGGGCCGAGGGGGGGAGGAATTCTACGATTCCTGCGCCGGCGCCAGATAGACGCCCTGGCCGTGGGGGAGGAGGGAGAGGAGGAAGAAGAGGAAGAGGAAGGCGGGAGGATGGCAGGGATAGAGGAAGAGGAGGAGGAAGGGATGGAGGTGGGGGAGGGAGACCCCGTGTTCGAAGCGGTGGAGTTGTTCCAATCCGAGCTCGTGCGAATATGGCGGTCCCGACGTTACTTGTGTTGGATCCTGAGCTTGTTTGTCTTGATGGTGGGTTTGCACCCTTTGCGCCTCGCACCCCTGCCAGGGAAAGCCGCCCAGGTGGAAGCTATCTTGCGTGTGGACACGTGGACGGAGTGGTTGTCTTTGGAACGTTGCTTGGCTGTGGGAGACAAGGCGGGTGCCGTCGACGAAGACAGCAGGCGCTTGTCTTTCTGCCGGCTGATACGGCAAGAGTCTGTTTCCCCAAGACCCTCCTCAGTGCCGGCGAAGGGCAAAGAAAGTCGGATGGACGACGACGTTTCCCCCCCCCACCCTCGACGCGGGCACGGCGCTCCACCCTTCCCCTCCTCTTCCTCCCCGGCGTCCCGTCTGGAGGATACCACTTTCCCTGGGAGCGAGCTTTTGGCCACCATTTACATGTACCCCTCGTGGGGTTGGATAGAACGCGTCTCGAGAGGGGTGGAGGGGACGGTGATTGACCTTCTCCAAGTGCTGCAGACGCCGACGCCCGCCTCCATTCTGGGAGCGTTCCCAGGTTTCGGCATGGGGGTGTACGCCCTGGCACACCACGGCTGGTCCGCTCCTTTCCGGGAGCTGGTGGCATTCTTGGCCATCGAAGGGGAGATACGTCAGTTTATGGCCGTCTGGACCGTCCTGACGATACCGACCCGCATTCCGCGCAACCCCTTAGACATTCCCCCCCTGGGAGACATGCCGGCGTACGCCTGGACGGTTTTGTCCCTGACCTTGGCACAGGGTGCCTACCTGCTTGCCTGCGAGATGTTTGCGACGCTCCTGGATGTGGTTGCCCTCTCCCCCATGCTCCTTGCCTTGACTCAGGGCACCTGTTGGAGAAGCGAAGCCTCTTTGATCGCCACCGTCCTGGTCCGCTTCTGGTTGATGTTGCGGGAAGATGTGCGGGCCCTGGAAGCCTGCTTGGGGCGTTACACGGCCTTGGAGGCGACTATTTTGCGGCTCTTCATCCTATTGAGTGTCTTTACGGCTCCCTTGTGGGCACCTCGGCCCATGTTCAACGGATCGGATTTGGTCTCGGCACTGACGAGTGCAGGGGGAGAGGTGGTGACAGAGATCATGGGTGAGATGAGACAGGCAGCGAATGGACGGGGGTAGGACAGCAAAGCGCGCCGGGGAGTGCAGGTAGTCCGTTCGTTCTGATACTCGATAGTTTCAAGTAAAAGGTAGACACATGCTGCATTTGCTTACAAATGGCTAGAAAGCCTGGATGCCCAAGACCAATGACTGGAGCACTGACACATTAAAATAATCCACGTGAGAGTGGCGACTAGCTGATTGTAGGCGGATTTGTATTCAAATCAAGATATTTCAGAGATGGGTTGCGACTTTATTTTATTTGACCTTTGACTTTCGCACGCCAGCATGAATCTTCGTGTCGCAACTTTGAAAACAAGAAAAGCTGTTCGATAATCTCCCCGTAAAGTCACACACAAGCGATTCATCTCTAAATCATTCTCTCAGCAAGCATTTACCCCCTTTGCCTTACCCAGTCTGTCGGCAACTTGATTACAAATGCCTGCACCGAGGGAATGGATGGATTGACTGACCAGCCCCTGCTTCTCTAAATCGTTTTGATGCCCATCTTCTCGTCCCCTGAGGAGGGTGGCTTCTGCCTGATGGCCCTTTAAAGACCTGCACACTTACAGACAAAGCCGGGATAGCCATGCAATATCGCCCCAACGTCCGCCGTTGCCTGCGCATACAATTTTTGCCCCACGGGATGGGTGGCTAGAAACCTCTTGACGTCGTCCGATTTTCCTTCCACAGCAAAACTTCGATAATCCTTCCCCTCTGCTTCGACCAGGCAGTCCTCCACATGCACACCTTCCGTGTCATACGCCTTGTCCACACGTAGCTGGGATCGAAGGAAGGGAGAGGAGTGAGACGGATGAACAGATCGCAGTCTTTCGGAATGAAGGAAGCCAGGTCAGGGCGTGTGATCAGATGCGTCGCTACGATTGTACTAGACTTGTAAGCCAATGCGCTAGATCTCGCCCCCATGCACTAGATGGGAGCCTAGGAGATGCTTTCAGAGAAATCAGTACAAAAGGAGAGGTGTCACGAAACAAGTCATCTGCACAGTGAGAGGATTTGAGATACTTGAAGAGAAGGAGGAAAATGTCGCCCAGCACAACGCCAAAGTAACAAAAACGAAATTGCGAACCAGAAAGTACACATATCGGGGAGGGGAAATTGGAAACGCACATAAAGACATGTCGCATGATCTTCAAAAAGAGAAAGGCTGGGCTTGGTCAAAAGTCTTTTGAGTTGAATAGATCCTTTACCTTGGCAACCTCGACGCTCTTGGTCCCGTCCTCTGAGGCGAGCAGGGAGGTAACATGACTGTCGATCAAGCCGTGGCTCTACCGTTGTATTAATGAAGGAGAGCAGGAAAATATAAGGGCACGCATAAAGACTGTGGGACATTGCTACTCGTGAGTGACACGGGTAACACACGTCTCTGTATGACACGTCCACCTCCCAGGCGGTACCGACAGCTCCCATAGCCAGCCTACACGACAGTGTCTCGTACGCAAGATTGATATGGAAAATCGGTGTCATGATCTGCTTGGTTTGATTTATCAATTGGCTCAAGCACGCCACCCTCGGGTTGACAGAGGACATGAAGTCCTCCTTCACAGACCTCCCTACCTCCAAGAGAGTATGTACATGAGCCAGGGATTCCTCCTCCGCAAGTCCCTTCCCAATCTATCGATATTGAAAGGAGGAGTGTAATCAGTTAAGAATATAGATTCTCCCTGCAGTCCCTCTGATTCTCCTGGGTCATCATGAGTTTCAATGAACGAATGCCTGCGCCGATATGGACACTTGCCTTGTATTTTTTCCAATGCTCGATACCCTTTATTCCCCCGTCCTCCGCTATCCCTCCTTCCGTCATAACTTTAAGTTCCACACGACCCTTGCTCCCTCTGCGTTTTAGACCAATGGTGGGGTTGACTGCAAGGTAGCTAAGGGAAAACGAAAACAGCAAGCCATGAACATGGAATCCACACTTAAATGTCAAAATTCCATCCGACCTTTCAAACCAGATACGTACACATCGCGTCGCCCCACCATCCCATCTCCTTTTCGTTTATCATAAGCTCCATCAAAGGCATCTCCGAGTACCGCTGATGTTAGTTTTGTAGGAAGAGGAAGAAAGACCCGCCACTCTGCGAGGGCATCCATGGGCTCCGGAACAGCCGTTGCCATTCTTGTCGGTACTGTGTATATAATCAAAAACAACCATTGAAAAAGAAGAGATGGATAACGCTGAACATTTTCATTTATTACGAACATCATCTGGAATAATCCGAGGTGGCAACGGAAACGGTCCAGAGCGAATTTATCACCCCGTAGACTGCGCTTGCACTATTTAAGCATGCACGATTGAAAAAGGCGGAGCACATTCGGTCGAAGGCCTTCGTCATGTTTTTGAAACAGGTGTATGCTTATGCACATGGCAATTATCCATACAAGGAAATGCATGACGCCCGTCTCAGACAACATGTCTGCGAACGTGCAAGCAGAGACTCGCGGAGTGAGGAGGTTAAGGCGTGGCGGGCTTCGACACTCGTACTGATTGACAGTCATGTAAAACATTGTTTCCTGCATCCACATGGCATGTTCGGTTATATGTACGTTTAAGTAAGGATGTTTGGTACATGGATAGCTTTTTGGAGTTTTGGGCTTGTATTCTTCACATTTTACGGGCATTCAAGAGAGTGACTGCTGTCCGATGTCCTGTGGCTGACGATCTTCTTATTCTGATCCTTTATACCACAGCACGGCCTCATACACACTGATGCACAACAATTTTAAAATCAGTCCGTAAGTCACAAAGATGTCTCGCAGTTCTTCAGTACTTTTATTCATGGCGGGCGCTGCGACAGCCTCCGTCCTTTTCCTCGCCCTCCACCATCAGCGACGGCGGCAACGCCATCAAACCGCCCCTTCCATATCTCAATCTTCACATTCCGTATCCTCCTTGCCGCCCTCGCTAGAACATGAGCTGTTCGCCCGAGTGGTCTCTTTTTTCGGGGAGGAATCGTTTCCTCCCATCCAAAAAGCCTTCGTCGTCGTGGTGGGCCTGGGAGGGGTGGGTTCTCATGCGGCACATATGCTTGTCAGGAGTGGCGTCCAAAGAATCCGAGTGATAGATTTTGATCAGGTAGGAGACACCTGTGAGAAGGAAAGCCTCGGTATGGACGTGATTGGCATGCCAGGAAGGGGGATTGAGACCCATCATCATAGTCCGCATATATAATGCATATTTATATCCACATGAAGGTCACGCTTTCCTCCCTGAATCGCCACGCAGTCGCCGGTCTGAAAGATGTGGGTCTATCGAAAGCCGAGGTCCTGAAAACGCGCCTGATGGAACTGGGATTGCCTCGCCTACAAATCGATGCTTGTCGAGCCCTTTTCAAGATGGACACTGCCTCCGTATTACTGGGCCCGTGGAAAGGGACAGGAGGGGGAGAGGGGGAGGAAGGCGGTACGCACATCGCATCAAGGGGGAAGCATGACGTGGGGACATATTTCTCTGTCCGTCTGTCCCTGTGCATCATCCCCGGCAGTCATGTTTTCAACTGTCTGTCAACCCGCATACCACCACGTGACCCTCCCTCCCTCCCT